CACTACTGAGTCACTTCTTTTAGTCAAATGGTTTGATGATTTCGGCAGGCTGGAAGTAAGCAAGGTGCTCTACCGGTTGACGTACCTAATTAAGATGGGGTTATGAATCATAAATGAGAAATTAGACTTCTGCTGAGCACATCTATGAAACACTTACTCATATTGCCATAATCTTTTTTGTTTATACAAAGATATTAATTATGTTGCTGGGACGTGAGGTAATTCAGGAAACATCCTAACATACAGGGCACTACAAATTGTCATGTAACATTGAAATACTGGTAACACCAAGGTGGGGGGAATTTTAGAGGAAATTTGCACAGCTAGCTCGTATGCATCTGAGTTGTTTCTGCAATTTAACTAAGTCAGTGCCTTTCTCCTGTTAAAATTTGAGACTTGCCCCATAAATCTAGTGAAGGTTATAACTTTAAGATATTACTTTTTCTTTTAACCCTGCAAATGAGTGATTTCTGAGTTTGTCAGATCTTCTAAGTTTTACCTAGTTAGTTTAATGAGAGTTCTAATGTTGTATGTAATTTTTTTTTAATTTAAAAAATCAGGAATGAAGGCTAAGGTAGTGTCATGGTATTCAATACAAATAACTTTACACATTACAAATAAAATTACACATTTTTGAAGGAGGAAGAGCTAGTGATTTATCACTGTGCCTTATGGTCCATTAGTACTTTTTCAGGGAAGAATTCTGTAGTCCGTAAGTGCTAAGCAGTATGGAGATAACAGTGTTATTGTTGAAGGTAAATGAACAATGCAATTTTTTTATCACGGCTTGCTGTCCCACTAGATTGTTTTTAAGCAGCAGTAAATTCCTGACTGATTGGCTTTAGTTTACACACGGCTTGGCATAAGGGAAAGTGTAAAATATTTCTTGTACTGTAAGAATGATAACTTTGCATTGTTGAAGGAATATCTAGTACTCTTAAATTGTTCCTATCCGAAACAGCAAAATATTACTTTTTCTTGAATAAAAGAATGTAACAAACAATACCATTTGTGGGCTTGCTGTTTTTGCTCCTGCAGTCTCTAGCAGCAGTGGAGAGACAGTTACTCATTTGTACTCTGAAATCTCTGAGATTGTTGAAGCATAACTGCAGGGCAGATACTTTGCTGACTTGTGGAAGGATGGGAACATCAATTAAGAATTCACTGTAGTTAATGTGTCTGGATATTCAGCTGCTGAAGAATATTTCCCTTCATCCCTTCATTATTTTTTTTTTTAAGGAGAAAATTGCTTATTCTAGCTATGATTCTGTTTTGTACAACCTTTAGATGGTCTCTCCCTCCTCCCCGTTTTCCCATAAAGAGGTTTTTATTGCTGGATATCTTAGTTGAAGTTGGCAATAGTCGACAGCTCTGAACTTCCTGCTCATAGATATGACCTTCCCCACCCTTTGTCAACTCAGTGCTGACAGGGGCAGACACTAAAGAAGGAAATTCTGAATCGTTTAACCTCGATAACAACAAAGTTTTACTTTGAGTTGAACTAAACCACTGGAAGAAAGAGAAACACGAGTTGAAGCGTACCTGCTTTTAGATAATCAAATTTGGTTGTTTGTATTGTAAGTTGATAGTATACCTGTTGGTTTTCCCTCACTGGGTTTCCCTGTGTTACTGTAGTCAGCTTCTTTAAGCCAGCCCTAATTTTCTGCAGTGTATGAGCTCAGAGCAGAATCCTGAATGAGGGACAGATTTTCAAGATATTTCTGCAACACTCTACCATGCTGAAATAGGAGTGAGGTGATGTAGTAACTGCCACTGTGGAAATCCTGTTGTACAGCCAGATGGGACCTATGGAGTCATGCTGAGGCAGTAGTAGTCTAAATATTCTAGTAAATTCACTCGGGTACTGTAGGGCTCTGCAGTGGTGTGGGAGGTGAAGCTTCGAATGGACAATGTGGGCAATGAGCTGAGCAACCAGTGAAGAGAGAGAAAGTAGCAGAAGCCTTGGGGTAGAAATTCTGTTTTCCATTTACTGATTATAATGTCAGAGTTCTGGTTTGAAGAGTATCATCCTGTTTGCTGTCAACAGTATGGTAGGGACAATGTGTTGATGTGCATTTATGTGTTTCTGTGCCATCTGTACTTCCGTCAATGTAAACATCCCAAGCTAAAGCTAAACAGCTTGAAATTGGGGTACGGTAGGCTAGTGTAATCTGTTATGGTAGCTTCCAATAGGAAAATACTGCGAGTTTGTCACCAGTAGAAATAGTCCTAATGTAAATTAAATTCTTAATTCAAGATCCTACCTCTGAGGCTTTTTTCTTAGCAATAGCATCTTTTCGGTTTGACCAATAGCTGATTTTATGGTTGAGGAGGGAAGATATGAGATGATGGAGGAGAAAAGAAGAGTAATCCTGGAAATAAGTAAGGCTGACTGTGATTTATTCTGAGTATTTCCTAAAAGATTACCTATCAAAGTGGACATCAGTCTGTTGGTAAAGAAGAGACGATTTATTTCCTCCTGCCACTTCACTTGTTCTGACTCTCCCTTTTTCTGTGACTCAGAATGGTGCCCCTCCATTTTCTGAAATGGATTGGGCAAATGTCTTTGAATCAAATAAGCATTATATAGCTAAGGTGCTTGCAAGCACTGGAATTTGCAGTTAAAATTTCAAAGCATGAGCAGTAAACAAATGTCATGCTTTGTATGCATCGTGCATTTTTCTATTTTAAAAGCTGTTGTAGAATTAGTCTCATGCTTACAAATATGTTAATATTACCATCTTTATGAAGGTATTCTATGTGTTTTAAAGTCGCTAAATACCAAGGTGGAAGTAATTTTGGGGGAAATATTTTACAAAACTTTATGCTGCCCCTGTCCCTTAGCATGTTATTACATTCCCTTATTTTCTTAATCTTATTGTCAGCTTTGTTTCATTGTTGTCCTAGAAAAAGGGAATGCCGGTTAAAATTTTGTTTCTGGTATCATGCTCTAGGATGAATATATCTTTAAGTGAAGTTACTTGGACTCATAATTCTGCTACAGGAAGCTTGTAAAAAGTTGTTTGAGTTTCAAGCAAGCTGTGTTCTCATTAGAAATACGTGTCTGTGATTTGAAGGGCATACAGATTTCATAACTGAGCCCAGTCAGAGTTGAACATACCTGCTGCAACCATTGCGCGACTTGCACTGTGAATGACTTCGTTTATCGGTGTATTTGACAGCACGTCACATGCAAGTCTTCAGACGGGCCATGCAGTCTTTAACTTGCACCAGACATTTAGTAATACAGAGAAAGCTGATAGGCTTCTGTTTGAAACCATGGTAACCCTAGTGATTGCTGCTGCTTACTGATAAAAACTTGAAAAATAAGCCTAATTTCTTTGATAGAATGGCAGAAATTCACACAATGAAATACCAGTAGCCTTGCATACTGTGCTACTGAGTGGCAGCAAGTCATTTGTGCCTTAATGAGACTAACTTAAAGACAAGTTCTACTGCATCAGAATTCAAGACAGAGGGTTGGAGTAGATATTTTCTAATTTGCAAGTCTGCAATAATGGGATGTCCTATCCTGTGGAATTTTTCTACTGTTACACACTGAGGTTGTCAGTGCACTTTAATTTTCACAACAGCAGCTGAAATAAATTTCCTCTGGAGATCATGCAGTGCTACTCTTCCGTGGAGAAGCACTAATGTAAACCGTGGGCAGTCTTGACTTGACAGCTGTGCTGACAAACCAAAAAAAGATGCTTTTTGCACTAGACAGATGTCTAAGTGTTGGAAATTTTCCAGGGAGAAGCAGAAAAGCTTTATTCTTCCAGTATTTTCATGTCACATGAAGTATGGTTTAAATGAAAGGAATGTTTTCTGATGGGGAATGTTGTTGCGGAGCTTTTTAGCATGCAGAGGATTAGCTTGCTAATCACCTCTCTGAGTAACTAGATTCTACCAGTTGCACAGGAAAATTCTTGATGTTGTGAACAGTGAGGCATAGTGATTAAGGAAACTAGTTATTATTTTAACCTCATTTGATATATTTGCATGGCACAGCTAGTGCCAGAATGTCTCCTACATTTGCATGTGTTTTGTTATAATATGTATCAAATACAGACATGGCATTCATCAATAATTTTTTTTGAGAGAGAGACGTTGTCAAGAATCTCATCCAAATGAAAAACAATATGAGAAGATTATATTAAGAAGTATGCAATATAGAAGACAGCTCTTCATAGCGGAAGTTATACCTGGCGTACACTGTGGAGTTTTGTCCTGGAAATTTTGGTCCTCAACATCAGCAATTCAGTAAATGCTGAAACTTGTAACTAAATTCTTCTCTTGACATAAAGCTATAAAGTTGATTTTACAACTCTTTTCCTTTTTTGAGGAAATGGTTAGCCCCCCCCCCCCTTTTTTTTTCTTTCCAAGCATAGTGTTCCATAGCATCTCCCATCTTCTATATTTGAGTTCTTCATAACCCCTTCATTCTGTTAAAAATCACTTGGATGGTGAAAAGGGTGTTTCTAGTAGCAGGCAGAAGTGGTGAACATAGAATCCCATGCTCTTCTAGAGTTGGAGAGCATGATCAAGGATGACTTATGCCTTGCCCTACACTGTTGTAGGGCACTGTAAGTCATGCTTTGTGAGGCAGTTGCGGTATTAGAAATATTTTGTGCTAAAAAGGAGATAGTCATGGACCCCTAGTCAACTGTGTGAATGTAAAGGTGGACTAAGGGTTATGGCTGATGATATTCCACGTGTTCATACATGCTGCTTTATTGAGCATTTGATAATGATGGGCATAGATTTTCATTTGTACTTCTTGAAGACGTTCATGCTTTAAGAATGATTTCGTATTTGATCCCTGTAGTTATGCACCTCATCTTAACTGAAGCTTCATTAGCAAACTGCTTTCCCCCCGGCTCCCAAATTTAAGGGTAACAATGAAGAATGTAGTACAGGTTAAACGTACCTAAATTTCATGCCATATTTCACTACACTGGATGAAGGGTTTGTTTTCTCCTTTTCAGGTACTCTTCCACTCATCAAGATGGAAAGCTCAGATTCTAGCGATAAAGGAAATATTGATCAATCAGAAGCACAACGTCAGAGTCAGCTGGATCGGTTAGATCGAGAAGAAGCTTTCTATCAGTTTGTAAACAACCTGAGTGAAGAGGACTACAGGCTTATGAGAGATAACAATTTGCTAGGAACACCAGGTAGGTAATGCTTGTGTATGTACATCTTACTAGAATCGCTGGTAGGCAATTTGTGTAATTTTGTTGCCCTGAAACTGTTTCACCCATTTAGTTTGTCTGCTGCAGTTGTGTTCCGTGGTAGGAAGTAGCTTCTTGCTAATTTGTGCATACTCAAATTTGAGCGATCCCCTGACTAGTGGAGAGGTAGCTAGGATGATGTGGATTCATCAGATACAAGTCTAGTGTTTACACAAGTTTGGCAGGAATACCCAGAGTTGACCCAGTTCCAGTTACGGACCCTTAGACATTTTTGATCAAAAAGTAACCTCCCTTAAGCATCTGTGTGACAATTTTGTGCTGGTGAGGTGAAGTGTTTGTAACTAGGATAAGTAGTCTGGTGCGAGATTCTGCATGGGCATTTTTATGTCAGTTTGCAATTGATGTTACTTTAAATTGACTCTTTATAGGATGATACCTAGTTCAAACCAGTTCTAATTTAAAACATGACTTCAACTAATTTAAACCTTTTTTCATGCTTGTGAAGGTATTATCTTAATTATTTTACTCTGGACAACCATTTTATTAACACAAGATGACAAAAATTGCTGTTAAGTTGTAGAGGTTGCAGAACCAGAAAGCACATTGGTCTTGAATAGATTGACTCTCGGCTCTTTTGGCTTCAGCAAAACTTACTTGGGACAATGGTGCTGAAGTGTCTGAACCTCCCCTTAGCAACCTGTTTGGCAGTCTCATTATGGCAGGAGTTAATTAGAAAAAAAGACAAGCAGTGGCTTGTACCTTCTTTAGAAGCTTTTGATAATGCTTGCCATACATATGATTTGGAAATATTTTTGGAAAACTTTGCTTATTTTCTAAGGTGAAATTACTGAAGAAGAGTTGCTGAGAAGGCTACACCAAGTTAAAGAAGGTCCGCCACAGCAAAACAGTGATGAGAATAGAGGTATATACAGTATTTGTGAAAACTCTTAACTTTAGCACCCCATACGGACCTTAACTTGAGTGCAGGAGTGGAACAAGTTATGCCTAGGCAGGTGCAAGGTGAGCTTTGTTTCAAAACTAAGTGACCGTTATGTCTGATATCTGCTGCAGAGGTCAGTTTGGGACAGATTTCACTCATAACACATCTGTTACTTGCATCAAGTAAAGTTTCGTTTAGGTTTGTTTATTTGGTGGTTGTTTGGTTTGGTTTTTTTTTTTTTAAGATTGCCTTCCTGTCTGCTCCCTTCTGGGGTGCTTTTTGGCAATCCCTCTTGTTTTATTCACCATTCTTCTCTTCAAAAGATGCTGTATTACTTCCATTATCACCCTTCTGTAGAAATTGGTGGAGGATGCTTGGAGCTTACCACTGGAGTTCATTCTTTAGTGAGACAGATTTGCTGTAAAGCTATTCTTCAAGTGAAGGGTCAGGACAAACAGTTCTCTATTTAGCAGTCGATAGATCACTTAATTGTTTGGAAAGGGAAACAGAGAATATTGATGTGTTACGACACCTGAAATGTGACTTTCCATTTACTTATGATAAACAATATGTGTTATTTTGATGACTTGTTTGCTCTGTGATGGCTGCAGCCTATCTGTACGTTTTAGAAAAATGTCCACTCCTGCTCCTTTAAATGAGCTCTGGTAGATAAGAATTGCGATGCTAAGTGTGAAACCACAATAGCAGTTGATAGGATTGAGCATTTCTAAATTGTCACTTGTTAAACTAAGCAATTATGTTCTTGGAAAAGTTCACTCCAAAAATAGGTCAGTACTCTAATTTTGGTAGTTCCCTGTCTTTTTCGCAGGTGCGGAGTCCGCAGAAGATGTTTCAAATGGAGATTCTATAATAGACTGGCTTAATTCAGTCCGACAGACTGGAAATACAACACGAAGCGGACAACGAGGAAACCAGTCTTGGAGAGCAGTGAGTCGGACTAACCCGAATAGTGGTGACTTCAGATTCAGTTTGGAAATAAATGTCAACCGTAATAATGGGAACACAAATCCAGAAACTGAGAATGAGCCATCTGTAGAGCCTTCCAGTGGGGAGGACTTGGAAAACAGCCAAAGTGACTCTGAAATTCCAAGATCTGAATCACCATCTGTGAGGCAGCCTGGATCAGAAAGGAGCACTTCAGAGGAGCTATCAACTGAGGAAGCTTCCCCTCCTAGAGGGCAGAGGAGAGCAAGGAGTAGGAGTCCAGAACAGCGGAGAACGCGGGCTAGGACTGATAGAAGTAGGTCACCTATTAATCCAGTGAGTGAGACGCCTCGCAGGTCTCATCACAATACATCATCTCAAACACTTGACCACTCCTCAGTGAATGAAGCTGAGGGAAGCTCTAGAACTAGGCAGCACGTGACGTTAAGGCAGCATACAGTGGGGACTGAGATGCCAAGTGAAAATGCAGTTCTGTTTTCAACCCCTGAAACAAGACCTGTTCCTCAAGCAGCAGGTTCTTCAGAAACTAACGGCACCAGTGAGTCCGCAACTCCTGGGCAGAGGCCTCCTACCATAGTACTTGATCTTCAGGTGAGAAGAGTTCGTCCAGGAGAGTACCGGCAGAGAGACAGCATAGCCAACAGAACTCGGTCCCGGTCCCAGACTCCTAACAACACGGTCACTTACGAAAGCGAACGGGGAGGGTTTAGGCGCACGTTTTCACGTTCAGAACGGGCTGGAGTGAGAACTTACGTCAGTACCATTAGGATTCCTATCCGTAGGATCTTAAACACAGGCTTGAGTGAGACTACATCAGTTGCTATTCAGACTATGCTAAGGCAGATAATGACAGGTTTCGGAGAGCTGAGTTACTTCATGTATAGTGATAGTGATGCAGATCCTAGTGGCCCAACCCCAAATCAGAACGTGGATGCTTCTGAGCCACAGAACGGAGGTGGTGGTACTTCAAGCAACGAAAATACAGATGTTAGCTCAGGGGAGGTGTATGAAGGTGGCAATGAAGGTGGTTCAACATCTGGTGCCAGACGGGAAGGTCGGAATACGAGGGGATCGGTCACATTTGAAGAAAGTGGTTCTCTACCATTCCTTAGCTTAGCACAATTTTTCCTACTAAACGAAGATGATGATGACCAACCAAGAGGACTCACCAAAGAACAAATTGACAACCTAGCGATGAGGAATTTTGGTGAGAGCGACGCTCTGAAAACCTGTAGTGTGTGTATTACAGAGTACACGGAAGGCAACAAGCTCCGTAAATTGCCTTGTTCGCATGAGTATCATGTCCACTGCATTGATCGCTGGTTATCGGAAAATTCTACTTGTCCCATTTGTCGCAGAGCAGTCTTAGCGTCTGGTAACAGAGAGAGTGTTGTCTAAATGAGATCCGAATTTATGGCCAAGCAGCTAGTGTGATAGTGATGGGCAAAGAAGTCACTTCCTTTATGGCCACTTTTTGAGTGGTACCTCAATGTATAGTAATGACCTGGAGTGAATCTTCCCTCATGAAAGCATTTTCTCTGAATACAAGCTTTTAAAATTGGAAAATTTCTTTAATTAGGGTTTGCAAGATCTTGTCAGTTTGGGTGTTAAATATCACTTGTCCAAAGACATCCACCCACTTAAAAATATTTTTTACTTTGTGAAGAGTATTAAGTTCTTCCCCCCCCCAGCTCCTGCCATCCAAGTCCAATAAACATTTTGTCCTCAAGATTGTGCTTATGAGGACGTTTTTGAGAAGGCATCCCAGCTAAATGTACATGAGTCGTATATGAGAGGAATTTTTGCAAGAAATCCAACTGTCTGAAAAAATAATATGAACTTAATTGCACACTTGAACATACTTTTAATTTTCATACTGGGTTAATATTGGACATGTCTGTGTAAATAACACTAATGTTAGCCCTTTCCCCATCACTATGGCACGCTGCAGGATGAGCTGTTAGCTTAATTGGGATATTTATCTTGTTGTGGAAATATAAGAATTGCCTATGCTTGTTTAAATAAAAAAAAATCTGTTTTAAAATTGTAAAGCTTTTTTGTAGAAGCTCAGTACTTTTCCAATGCACTGTTGTACTAACGCATTAAGAATTAAAATTGTACCATGCTTAGAAATCAAGAACGCTTTTCATACAAAATCCACCACACAGAGAGCAAACTAAATACAAGAGAGCTGCTTTTGTAACTGTGTACCTGTCAAGAGCAGTGCATATCTGTACTATTTATGTGAACAGCTACTGTAATATAAAAACAGTTGAATTAGACATCTTAATTGCATTAAAAAAACCGGAAATTAAATGTTATAATTGCAGTGTTTTGGCTCAGTAATGCCACCAAAAAAGATGATAAAAATTAGAAACTGTTCTAATGGCTGGTTGTTTCTTGGTATGGTTGCTAATACGTAATAATACAGACCAACATGTACAGGTTCACTCAGTGAGGTTTATGCCCAATTTTTCTATCCACTTTTACTTTCAATTTTTGAGGCAACTCTGTGCAACTATTCAGCAGACAAGTATTGACAGGTTTTTTTTTTTCTTCCCTGCCAGCTTCAACTGTATTAGTAGCCTCTGGATCCGTTGAGCGAACATGCTGATATATCCAGTGTTGGTAGCCTGTGACTCGAGTGCCACAGAAAAATAACTTAAGTATTAAGTGGAAAAACAGATTATTAGTGTGTTAGGTTAAATTTGAAAATTATAATTAATTATGGGAGTACACTTAAATGTGTAGCCAGTTCTAAGAATAATGTTAAAGCCCTACAAACTCTTTTTTTTTTTTTTTTTTTACTCCTGTTGGGCAGATTAAAATGAATTGAATTTACTTTTAAAATTATGTACGTGGCATATTGAAATTGAGAATTGGAGAACATGCCTCAACTCTCATCAGTGTCAGGGGAAAACATCCTTCCCCCTTGATGACCCATTCTTTGTTTTGTGCTCTAATTCTAATTCTTTGTGCTCTAATGATTTTATTTTTTTTCCTGGCTTACATATGCAACAGGGAAAGCAATATTTATTTCGACTCCAGGGCAGTAGTTATGAAGGGATATGAACTGCTCTTGCTGGCAATATGGGAAACATTGCTTGTTCCTCAGATGACTAAACCAAAGCTGACCTATCTCTTTTTTCCTAACTAAAACACATTTTTGGTGTTTTATAGTGGTGGTTGCATAAACTGTAGTCTCTGCTTTAAGCCATTTTAACATCCATCAGCTAGTTAAGGATTCCACAATGTCCCAGAATTCCAGGTTTTTTTTTTTCTATGTGTGTGTTTTGTGGTGTTTGGTTCAGTGGGAAACCCTCACTGGCTCTTGAGCTCGCTTTCCTCCTGGTGGGACACACCATCGTGGCAGAGGGAATACCTGTATTTTTGAACAGAAGAATAAATAAGCTTATGTTTTTGAATTTTCCCTCTGATGTGCATCACTGTAAAATTGGAAGTTAGCTATTAATTTCATGTGCTGGACTCTTATCTGCCAAAATTTCCTCCACAAAATGAGTTCTGAATTTTTTCCAGTAGCATTCACATAGCAAATACTTGCTATCAGCTGCAGTTTCCAGTAGCTTTACTGACTTACTGGAGCGTAGAATTAGAAGGAAAAACCCCACCTCTCTACATGAATACCATGTTGGATTGTGAAAGTCGGAGGTACATTTCTGAGGACTAAAGCTGGTGACCAGAAAGAAAGGAGCCTGCTAGTGCTGATGAATGTGAAGCACGGCTGCGATACGTGCCATTCAACATAGCTTTCTTTTTAATGTTCTGAGTTTCCAGTAACTGTTCACGTTAGTAGAATCAACTTTACAGTTTTGTTATAGCTTAATAGTGGCATGCCTTAACATTTTATCTTTCTGTAACAATAGCAACTAATAAAACGTTGGCAGTTTCCCAAATGGTACCAAGAACACATAATCTCAGTTCAGGAGACCTTGAATGTTCTCAGTGTTTTATATGCCTTTTTCCAATGCTGAGCGTGCTAAAGGCGCTGGGGGTTCGTTGTCTGATGTCTGGAGGAGTTGGCAGAAATTAAATTGCTGATGCAGCAAAGACCTCTTTATGTAGCCGAGTCATCTGTCAGCCTCTGTGGTAATTCAATTTCTAATCTTTAAAAGTTAGGTTGGAGTTAGGAAAAGCCAATATTAACAGTTCAGTTGCTAGCAAAATATGAAAGACGCTCTAATTTAACAAGGTTCACAATTAGCCTGATTTACAGCGTATGAATCGTTTTGGTATTGAGCATTTGTGCTGCCTTCGGTTTACGCTTTTTTGGTATCACAGGAGGGATACAGCCACTGAACTGATGCTCCTAGCCATCTGAAGGGTTAAAAGGGCTAGTTTTGTCATCTTCGAAGGCCTGATGGTACAGAAAAGATGAGTTTGAAGAGGCAGAAACAGCCTTGGTGCATCAGCTGCCTGGCTCGCAGTGCCACCGTGTGGGAGCTGCTCCTCGCCTGCCGTCAGAGCCGGGATCGCTCGCTCGCTCCTTCCTCGGAGCAGCATGGTTTCTTCTGCTTTGAAGGCTGTTGCTTTATTTTATTTTTGAAGGAGGTTCTTTGTTACTGCCTGCCTCGGTAGTTACCGTGGTGGTTTTTTCAAACTGCAAGCCATCCGAACTCCCGCTGTGAGTACCTTGTCTGGTGTGTGAGCTTAATTCCTTTCCGACGAGACAGACCTGTACTCACGGGACCTCCGTACACAGCAATTAAAGCAGTCACGAGGCCAAAACCCGGAGGAACACACAGTATTTTTTACTTCAGAGCGTGCTTGGTAGTTTAACTCGGATTGTGAACCGATACAGAGTTGTGGGTGCTTACTTTCTTTTTTTTAATTGGGGTTTTATCCATTAAAAGACTGTGAAGAGTTATTCCTGGGGTTTGTTAGATTTCCCTTTCACGTGCACTTTTTTTGTTTCTTCCAACAAGTTGGGTTTTTTGCAAAGAACTTGTAGGCAGTTAATTGACTTGATTTTAAAATGATTTGATTAGTGTAGGTACTGCATGCGTAGAAATTACTCATTAAAACTTTAAAGACGTTTTGTGAGAAGCATTGATGTGCAGGCACAGCAGCTGCACTGATGCCATACCCTACCGGTTTCGAAGGAACCATAATTGTCCATTGTGTCAACTTGCAACGGAATGGATTTCCCACCAAAGTTGGCACAAAGGACCGTAATGACTGTCATTCCAGTTTCCTGTCACTTGTCTGGATTATGCAAATGCGGAGAGCCCAAAGGACTGGCGTATCTGCGGTCCATGTTTATCCTGAAATGGTTGCCTACACAACGAGGAGGTTCCCTGTGGCCTCACAATAGCGAGGGTCTGATGTGAAGATGAAAAAAGCAACGCCGTTCAGGTTGGCCATCGGTCTCTGACTTTTAGCAGCGCGATGAGGGGGTTTCTGAATCTCCCAGCGTGATCTACACCGACACGCTGCGATACAAAGCTTCATCCTCTCGGCTTAGCCGCAGCCTTATCTTTAGTTTGGGATCCTTTTCATTAAGGTGTACACGTGTGTAACTGTCTGATGCCTCGGTTCTCTCGCCCGTCATCCTTGCTCGAACCGCGGGGGCTGGCGTTGCTTGATTAAGAGCATGTAGGCAAGAGCGGAGCTGAGGAGGTACACGGTCGTGGAAATGTCTGCCTGCTCCTCTGCCTTCTCCCAGGAGGAGGTGCTTTGGGTGAGGGTGGGCTTGGAGCCACGCTAAGGGATTTTATAACAAATTCAGAAATATTTCCAACCCTTATGTATGCTAGGCTTTTTGTTTGTTTATCCTTGACTAGGGAGGGAAGAAGAAGGGTGAAGAGACAGAATCAACGGTAACTTACCCAAAGTACATACAAGTTGTGTTGTGTTAAAAAAAGAAAAGAAGTTTGCATCTGTTATACCAGGGCTTCCCAACCTCTTTTTGATATGAGATGCCTCTTTTTATTTTTCTTCTTACGGGGAAACATACCATTGAATTTGTTTTGATTGTTTTATGTGGTTTTGTTCCCTTAAGCTAAAATACCCGAGACCCCTTCCTGAGTTTCACTATCTGCTAGTAAGGCTGTTGGTTGGGAAGCCCTGAATTCAACTGAGAATGTAACAGGTTTTTTTTTTTCTTTTTTTCTTTTTTTCTTTTTTTTTGTACAGTGCTTTGCATCTGTTTATACTGGACTTGTTTAATACAAAATGGTACTCTGAGGTCATTGGACAACAGTATGACCAGATTTGATAGCTAACATTTAGGAGGAGTTTGTTCCCTATGTAAGATGTCATAATGCAAATTTAAATAGACTCAATAAAATGCATGAAGTGTTCATTTTGTGCTTGATCATCACTCCTTGGGGTTACTCTTCTTACGGTGGGAATGCACTGGAGTAAATGATGGTGGATGTGGTAGGAATTTATTTCCTCTATATGGCTTTTCCCTTGAGGCTGGGCAGAAAGGAAAGAGCCAGAATGGTACGGAGTTAAGTTCTCAGAAGAATTTGTTGCTCCTTAGTACATAAAACTGAAGCAATGAATCTCACTATATCCCAGACTTCTGCAAATCTGTCAGTGGATAATGTGGGATACCAGAGCAGGGTCTGCAAGTTTTCTTTCAAGTAGTAGCTGTGACTTTTATGGGTGCCCATCAGTACCGGGGCCCGGTGGTTGGGGCTGTCAGGGCTGAGTCTCCCTAGAAATACACTTTGCGGTGTTCAGTGGCTTTCAGGAGAAGCTCTC